TCCCTCTCGCCCCGCCTCCAGCTCCCCCGGCATGGGGCTCGAGCTGCCTTTTCGGCGGACGCTGGGTGTACGGAGCGGCGAAACGTTCGCTGCCTGACTCGAGGCGAGACTCTAATGTCTCCGTCAGCTACCCTCAGCAACCAATGTCTTGTCCCCACTGTTAAATAAAGGCAATTCCTCGGGCGTGTGTCCCTACAAGGGCTCGGGGAACAGTTCCCAAGGGGGGCGGGGCCAAGCTCGTCAGAAGCATTCTCATCCGGGTATTCCCTAGATGCCGCAGCCGCCATCTTTGTTTTGTGCTGAAAGTCGCTATTGACGCCCGCGGGCGCGCCTGCGCCTGACCCGGGCGCAGCCTAAGCCCGAGATAAGCGCGCAGCGACCCCAGACCCTCGCCTCAGGGCAGCGCGGGGGCTCCTTTAAGAGGCGAAGCCAGAGGCGAAACGGAGCGAAGGCGGGAGGGGGAGCAGTGACGTCATCCGACCCCGCCCCCTCGCCCGACCGTCGCAGCCGCCATGTTTAGTTGTTACTTCTTCACACAAGATGGCGGCTCCCAGGGAGGAGGCATGAGCACCCTGCCGTTACCGCTCCTCATGCCGTACAGTTGTCACTTCAGGGCCTAACTCTGGCTTTTGAAGCGGCTCCTGTGGGAAGGAGTCATAAGGTGGGAATCGAGGATCGGACGCTGCCTTGCGTTTTGTTTGCAGTGGAAGAACTGACCCAGGAAGAAGAGAATAGGGGAGAAGGGGGAGCTAATCTCAAGATGGCGGCTCCCAGGGCGGCAGGCGCAGCCTGAGCAGCTGAGGCGAACTGAGGAGAGAGGTTCAAGACCTCACAAGCCGTACGGCGCAAGCCTCTGAGCAGTCCCCGAGAATTCGAGCTTGCTCCACTGGCCTCCGGCGCGCCTCTATTCCTTACGAGTGTCGAGACTGTTTCGGGAGCGGCGGCTGCACTAAGCGCTGGGCGGGGAAACGGGACGGTCTCAAGATGGCGGCTCCCACAATTGTGGTCTGAGCACCGGCGGGACTGGGACAACCGCGGCGCTTGTGGCTCCTATCCACCCGCCCCGGAAGCCGGCCAGTGCGGGGGACTTGGGGGGTGTGGGAACCGGGCCGGGGCTCCGCCATTTCCGGCGGGTGTGGGCTACGACTGAGGAAGGGAGGAGAGAGAGGCGGCTCAAGATGGCGGCTCCCAGGTCCTCCCGCCCGAGCTTATAAGCAGGAGCTCCCGGGCAAGTAGTCAGAGCGGCTGGACTCGTATGCCTCAAGCTTCTCGGGCCTAGCCGCTCTACTGTTTCGGGACGCTCTTTAAGAGTCGGGGTGAAAGAGAAGAAGGAAAAGAGCCGAAGGGAAGGAGGATAGTTAAGATGGCGGCCTCCATGGAGCCGTCCACCGCTGTGTGAGGAACTGCTTTTCCGTGAGAGCTGCCTTAGACGAAAGGGGGTGTGTGGGAGGTATTGGGGGGCTCCTTTCCCGCTCTTTGACTTTTCCCCATCGCGCCCTTTCCCGGAATTATGGCTTCGGCCGTGTCGCCCGCCAACTCTGCAGCGGTGCTCCTGCAGCCCCGCTGGAAGCGAGTGGTAGGCTGGTCGGGTCCAGTGCCCCGACCCCGTCACGGCCACCGCGCCGTGGCCATCAAGGAGCTCATCGTGGTGTTCGGCGGTGGCAACGAGGGGATAGTGGATGAACTGCACGTGTACAACACGGGTGAGTGCAAAAAGCCCGCCCGGTCCCGCCCGGTCCTGGGATCTTTCCCTCCTTCCATCTATTCCCTTTCCCTCCTTTTCCCTCCCTTCATCTCCTCTCCTTCCCTCCATCCATCACTTCCTCACCTCTGTCTCCTTCCTTTTCCACACCTCTCTTCTCTCTCTTCCCCTCCTTTTTCTCCCCCTTCTCCCATTCCTCTCCTTCCACACTGAGCCTGCTTTCTTCCCTCCACAACCCTTTGCTCTGCCTCGTTTCTCTGCTCTTTCCCCCGTTCTTACACCCCCTGATTCCTGTGTTTGAGGGGTGCTTTCATTATTGAAGAGGAACCGTCTAGTCCGGCTGGTGCGGGGGCGTCGCCAGCGGTGGTGACTTCAGACATACACCGTTACCCGGGCGAGCGGGCTGGCGGATGCGTCCCTTTGGTGCAGGCTAATTCCCACCCCCTCCTTCCCTCCCTCCTTCCTCCTGCGCCTGCTCAGCTATTCATCCCTAGTGCTCATTCGGGAGAGATGACAACTTCTAGATTACAGATGAGTTCTGTCTCGAGAAAAGGGGCATAGTCCAGCAGCCTAATCCCGATTTGGGCGGGGGTGGGGGGCTTGTGTGTTTGGTGGGTAACCTCCCTGAGATGGTGCAGGAGCCTTGGGGAACCACAGATCAGGCAGCATTGCCGCCTCCCTCTTGGCATTTACTTCTGCAATGTTTGTCTTCAAATTGCCGGTTTTCTTGATCCTCCGATGTAAGATGAATTCCAGTGATCCCGCAGCGGGCTCAGGTGGTCCCTTACCTGACTCTCCTCTTCCTGAGGTTGAAAGAGGTTACCTGCCCATGTTCATGCTTCCCCCAAACCCAAGGCCTAGTTTTATGGGGCGGGGGGGGGGAGGAGTGCGGGATTGGGTGGCCGAAAGAACACTGGACTGGGCTTCTTTTCTGTCTTTGGGTATGCTGGCCTGTGGCTGGCTTTCAGCCTTTTGCCTGGTGTCCTTGCTGGGTCTCTAGGGCCTGGCTGCATCCTCCTGCAGCCCCCTCCCCACGGTGGCCACTTGGCCTGGTTTGCACACCTATTGCCTCATTCTGAGTGGGCTGTTGAATGGCTGCTGGCCCGTAGCACCTCCCCTTGCTCGTAAGGAGGGGCTTGAGGCGTTGTCACTGGGAACATTGGGCCTGTGTCTGTTGTGTTCTGGGTGAGAGCCTGAGGGACCAAGGGTTGGATGGGCAGGGGAAAGCCCCCCTCCCCTACGTCAGACAATATCTTTTAGGGAGCTCCCCTCTGCAGCCGAAGGTAGATGGGTTCCGGTGGGACATGGCCAGGGCCATCTACCAGCTCTTTTCGTCTTGCTATCATATCTAGCAAAACTCCTTGTGCTCCAGATCCATCCTCCCCCCAGGCTCTAGAAGTATAGGGTCCTTGAGTTGTGGCGCCCCCTCCAGCTTTGAGGTTGCCCTGGGGTGGAGAGCTGGCAGCCGGAGGGAGAAGTTGGAGTGGCAACGGGACAGAGTGCAGTTTTCTCTGAACCTTGTAGGTTTGTTGCCCCCAACTGACCAAGTTGACTTTCAAAGGCTGGTGGGTTGCAGTGACCCTTTGCATTCCGGGTCTCAGCACCTGTTGCCTCCAGCGAGGCCAGGCTGGTTGGTGGTGCTCCGTGCCAGCTCAGACAGCTGCTGGTGGCAGCAATTAGCCCAGTAAGGTAAGGCTGAGGGGCAGGGCTGTTTTTAGAGAGGCCGTTGCCCTGAGCAGAACCTCAGCTCCTTGGATCAACTTGATTCTCCCAAGGCCTGGAGCAGGCTCCTTGGCAGGGAAATACCATTTTAGAAAGTAGGGCAGGGGCCTAATTAGCATCAACTCAACTCCAAAGTCCACTTCTTCCTGGGGCCTCTGCATATTCGTTAGTTTATTATAATGAACTGGTGGCTTCAGCCTTGATTCATCCCCAGCCTGTAAGGATATGTTGGGTAGTCGGGCATAGCCAGCCATCCAGAAGGGCTGCACCCCGATTCCTCCAGGGGAGCACTTTGCATACTGCCCTAGTCAACTCCTTAGGTGACTCCTCAGGAGAGCGACTAGCGACCCTACTCCTGAGTGTTTATGCTCTGACAGATACGGTCAAATAACATAACTCAAACAATGGTGCAGAGATCTCTGGCCTTTCCTGTAGCTGCAAGGTTCTTATGTCCTCTGGAAAGATGGGGCTTGGTGTTGCCCCCCTCCCACCAGCGTGGCCCAGATGCCCCTCATCCTTGGCTGCTGCTTCCACAGCTGCCCTTCTGCTTACCTTTGTTGTTGTTTTAAAATACATTTTTATTGATTTCAGAGAGGGAGAGGGAGAGAGAAACATCAATGATGAGAATCATCGATCGGCTGCCTCCTGCACGCCCCACACTGGGTTTCGAGCCCACAACCCAGGCATGTGCCCTGACCAGGAATCGAACTGTGACCTCCGGGTTCATAGGTCGACACTCAACCACTGAGCCACACCGGCCGGGCACCTTTCCTTTGTTTTAAATGAGGTCAGCATATTGTCCTGAGGTTTCTCTTGCACTTTTCCTTCTACTGGATGAGAGCTCAGAGACTCACTGAGCTGCCAGCGTTCTCTGTTGCTAAGATAAAAGACTCCAGGGGGTGCATTCAGGAGGTGCTAGGCACTTTGCTGGTTTGGTTAGCTCAACAAAGGGGGGGGGGATGTGACAAGGGAATGAGGAGTGGCAGGTGTGTGAGAAAGTGTCTGTTCTTCCTCTTCGACAGTCACTACAGCAGCTGTGGGACACTTGACTGGCTTTTGGGAGGTCTTAGGGTAGCCGTCCTTGACCTCGGGGAATTTTATTTCAGCCCAGCAAAGCGGATTAATCAGAAGACCTGATGCTGACAGGGTGGGGTGGGACCTGGTGAGGGGAGGACATAGCCATTTGCCAAAGGAGCCACCCAAGGCTGGTTGGCCTCAATGGTTCTTTAAGGTCTGCCAACTGTTTCAACTGGAAGGAGCCTTGGAAAATATCTAGTAGAACTTCCTTGTTTTTTCACATGAGGAAATTAGGGGCCAAGAAGGGAAGTGACAGGTCCAGGGTCACCCCACCAGCTGCTTGCGGAGTTTGGCAGGAGTACAGACCTTTACGGAGACCGTTAGACTGTCTCCTCCTTCACAGACGGAGACCACCACCTTGGAGACGCCTCCCAGTTCCTCTGTCCCTGTAGCTAATTAGTCGCTGAACCAAGCTTGTCTCAAATCTGTTCCCCCTCCATTCTGGGCCCTCTCCCCACATGGCTCTTGCAGTCACTTCCTGATTGGCCCTGTTAGTTTAATGTGTCGGGAAATCCCGTTCACCCTTCGAGGCCTAGCTCCAATGGTCCCCTCTTCTGAGAAGTGCCCCCCCCCCATCATCACCCCTGCAAACCTCTTTCTTGGCTGCTCTTCCTATGGTGGGAGGAGGACATGGCAGCTTCCCTAGTAGATTGGGAGTCTGAGTCCGCGAGCTGTCTCCTCTGTGCCTCTCAGCACCCGGCACCGGGGCTGCCACACAGGAAGTGCCTCAGCGTGACAGCGAACAAAAAGGCAGCTGGTGCGGCTGGACCATCTACTCGCTGTGGGGGTTTGGGTCTCTAGGTGGTGACGCGTAGAGGCTGTAGAGGCTGACGGGGCAGCAGCAACTGAAGACAGAGTTGGCACAACATGGAAAGGGGTGGGGGAACTGATAAAACACAGAAGCTGGGGTTTCAGGCTTGTTGAGGAGAGAAGGTGGAATCGTATTTCTGGCCATCCCATGAAGGGTCCCAGGTGCAGGCGGCCTCCCTTCCTGAAAGCCCCCTCCCAGCTGAGAGCAGGGACAAAACCAGAGCATATCAAGAACGAGAGACCCAAAGATTAGGTTGCACGACACTCCCCACTCGATGAGCTAGAGGTAATAGTATTAAGGGGTGACTACGAGCAGCTGTCATGTTTAAGAGACGGTTGCTTGTGCCACCTCAGGGGCCGAACTGGGGCTGGGGATGAAACGAAGAGAGGCAGTTCACAACTTCGTACCTTAACACTGCCCTGCCTGGAGTGTTCTAGAACAAGATTGGGACCTCTTGGGCACCATAGAATGTGCTGGTCATTGTTAGCTCTTAGGGCATCCCAGGTTACTTCTAGTCTGGCAGTGTGTTGGGAAAGTGGTGGGCTGATTCCCTTTGCCATGTAGCTTTGTCCTAGCCCTGGTCCATGGCCCCATAGCCACAAGGGTGTTCAGGTGAGCAAAGGTGGCTGATGGCTCCCTGTTCATGGGGCCCTGAGGTGGGCATCTAGTGATCCCTTTAAGTGACGAGGTTCTTGTCAGTGTCTGTTTTGCTCTGTGACCTCAGGTAAGTTACTTCCCCTCCTGGGTTCTGTTCCTTTATCAATTAAGGGACGTTGGCTGAGATGATCTCAGTGATTTCTGTCAGCTTTTATCCCACTAACTTGGATGAGATCCTTTTCAGGGACCATTCATGCAGGGCGGTCTGCCTCGGCATGGGGAGCTGCTGGCTTTTCTTGGTGTGTATGTGCACGAGGAATGAGAGCAAGGCAGTGAGCCGGGACCTGGGTCTGGGCGCATGCGCATGGCAGGCAGTACGGCATTGCACCTCTGCTAGAAACATGGCAGAGGAGGGGAGAGGAGGATTGGTGCTAGGCATCCTAAAATCCCCGTGACTCAGCTAAACCACAGAGGGGGGACGGGCTGCCTCTTCCACACCAACCTGTAGAGTTGGGTGGTGGGGAGTGACCTAAAGGGCTGTAACTGTCTCAGGAGGTCCAGCTGTGCTTTTATTTATCATTTTATTTTTCCCCTGTCGTTTTTATTTAGTTCAGTACATGGCAAAATATAAATACATAACAGTATGTCCTTTCTTATCATGGGTAGTAAAATCTGTAGCCAATATTTTACATAACAAAAGAAAACTAAATCTGTAAGTTACCAGAAAAGGAACAAGGAATAGGCAAACAATATATTTTATATAAATTATAGAGGCCAGTTACAATGAAGATCTAGCACCTTTGTTTCTAACTCAGATTTTTTACAAAATAAAGTCAACTTGTAATACTTTGTGACCTGCCAGGAGGACATAAACACTGGCCCTTTCAAAAGACAGTGGTCAAAGACAAAATGTTATCTTGATGTCACAGCTTGTTCTTAGTTCTTAACTGGAGTTGATCTTTGTTTGATAGTCTTTTTTTAATATATTGTTATTGATTTCACAGAGGAAGGGAGAGAGATAGAAACATCAATGATGAGACAGAATTATTGATCGGCTGCCTCTTGCACGCCCCCCACTGGGGATCGAGCCCACAACCCCAGTGAACCGAACTGTGACCTCCAGATTCATAGATTGATGCTCAACCACTGAGCCATGCCGGCTAGACTCATAGTCTTTAAGTGGTGGTAGTTTGGCAAGATTTTTATTAGGAAATCCAGCTGTAGTGTCTAGGGCAGGGGTGGGCAAACTTTTTGACTCGAGGGCCACAGTGGGTTCTTAAACTGGACCGGAGGGCCGGAACAAAAGCATGGATGGAGTGTTTGTGTGAACTAATATAAATTCAAAGTAAACATCATTACATAAAAGGGTACGGTCTTTTTTTTTTTTTTTTTTTTAGTTTTATTCATTTCAAACGGGCCGGATCTGGCCCGCGGGCCGTAGTTTGCCCACGGCTGGTCTAGGGCTATGGTTGCTCGGTCTGCGCCTGACAAAGGCAGTCTACACCAGTCAGATCCCAGTGGGTGCTACGTTTTCATCCATATCCCAATCCCTTTGCTTGCTCATGTTGACCAAAACAGATTTAGGGACATGGAAGCAAGCAGGGTTGAGACTGACCCCCAGTTTGAGGATTTACCTCCTGGCTCATAGGTCGATGCTCAGCCACTGAGCCATGCTGGCTGGACTTTTTTCCCCATCACCATTTATCCCTTCTATGCCCTCTTCCACCTCCACCCATCTCCCTCTACCTCTCCCCACCCCCCAATCACCACACTGTTGTCCATGTCCATGAGTTCTCTGCTGCCTGGCTTCGCTGTCATCCTCTTCCTTGGTGGCCTCCTGAGCCTACCCCCAGCTAGAGGTGATGGGCTTTGGGGAAGCTTCTGTGGCCGGCAGAGACTGTTAGGTGCCACAGCTTATGCTACTGCTGCCACCTCTGGCTTTTGAAGGTGTTCTGGAGGGGTGTGGGCATGGCACGGGAGAAGGTGGATGTGGACCATTACCCAGGAGACACCAGCAGAGATTGTTCTTGTGTGGCCTTGTGCCCCACCCCCACAGGCCATGCTGCCTTGATTAGCTTCCCTTGGGTGCCCTGCACCTGCAAGGAGGGGGGGGGGGGCACACCAACCAGTACCGGTTGCTCTTTCAGCCACTTAAAGGTGCAGTCATGGGCCCACAGGAGGAGGAGCCTGGGGCCACTGAGAGAGTATTCTGGGTGTTAAAAGTTTCTTTCTGATGACCCACCGAGCGGTAGGGGAAGGAAGTCGGTGGCCACGTTCCCAGAAGCTGATGAATTATCTTGGTCAGTGACTTCCGGCTTATTAAGGCAAACTTGATGCGAAGCAGGCTGCTTTGAGGTGGCCTCTGAAGTCAAGAGGCTTAGAAGATAGCTGAGGTAGAGGGCTGGCACTTGAATGCTGAAAGGAGAAAGTGCCATAGCCTTGGAAATAGAGGTGCTGTCTCAGCCCCTCCTTTCTTGGACCATATTCTATAGGCCGGTGGATTTGGGGAGTAAGAGAGCAAGGACTCTGGTTCTGGGAGTTCCCGGGTCATTCTGACATCTGCTTCCTTTTGTTCACCAGCAACCAACCAGTGGTTCATCCCAGCTGTGAGAGGGGACATCCCCCCTGGGTGTGCAGCCTATGGCTTTGTGTGTGACGGGACTCGCCTGCTGGTGTTTGGTGGAATGGTAGAGTATGGGAAGTACAGCAATGACCTCTACGAGCTCCAGGTAAATGGCCCCTGATGTACTCCTTACAGTTGT